GGGTTCCGTAAGATTTTCTCGCCAGAGTATAAGTTGCAAAGACCTTTGGTCTGCTTGAACAAGTACTTGACGATACATCTTTTCTACATCTGCACATGCTACGTATTTATATTGTCTAAATCGCAACAAGATAGAAAATATGTCATTTTGTAATGCTGGACCAGGAACCTGAATATAATTCAACGATTTTTTTGAGCTGGTCACAGCACTTCCATCGAATACTACGCGTAATTTTGTTGTAGAACTGCTATCCTTAAAAACTCCGTGATGAGGAAGATAAAAATTAGGAGAACTACTCGAATAAATTCTAGTCATATGACCCATATTTATATATTCACGCATGACATCATTATACATTCGTTTATAATCAGGTATACGTTCGAGTTTACGTTCTAGTGATAGAAATCGTTTCTTCGCTGACGTATAAGAATCCCCGAGCGTATCAGCTGATTCTCTTAGCGGTATTCGAACCGAAAACCTACCATTATTTTCACGTTTAGTAGTTTTTGTAAATAACTCCTCGCACACACGTTCGTCATTACTTAGAATGTTGCGAGAAACTGAGGGTATATCATCTAACTCCCAAAATTTTTTGAGCTGTGTATCAATGCTCTGACTAAAATTACACTGAACCTGATTAATGCGCAAGTTCTTGGTGTAAATGGGACCAGATATCAATCACCCGAATTTAGAACCTTGTAAATATGGCCCGCATGGTAAACGAATTTTATTATTATCTAAAAGATCCCAAAAAATATTGGCCCCTAATAATAAATCTATATCTGAGGGTACATTAAAATTAGGATCCGCAAGTTGAATGTTATTGGGAATAAAAAGTTTAATATCGAATTTAATGTTCATCGAGGGTAAACTAGACGTAATACACGGCAAGACGAAACAATTTAAATTTACTTTATAGTCGTTTATTTTTGAACGGATAGATACATCGCATGAATGTCTCGATTGTGAAATGAATTTTCCAACACCCGAGATTTGAACAGTGGACTGTATTAGAGGCGCATTTAACCGTTTACACAACTTATCAGAAACAAAACAATGCTGGCTTCCATTATCGAGAAGAGCACGTATTGTGTGAAAACAATGATTACTATCTACTATTTCGACTAAAGCGGTGGACAGCAAAACCGGTTGTAGTAAACTTTTTTGTTGCACGGTTGTCTCAGCTGATAATGAGTGCAACGCAGCTGTAGACACTGTTGTGTGTGTGTCGACTGGAGTCGGCTCGTCTATCACACGCGCATCTACATTAAAATGTAACAAAGTATTATGTTTGCGTTGACACTGTTTGCAAGGGCCGAATAAGCAGTCGTTTACTGAATGCCACGCACGCAAGCAATTACGACACAAATTTTTGTCTTGTACGAATTTAAGCCTATCTTTAACTAATAAATTTAAAAAATTAACGCAAGTGTGTAGTGCATGATTCTGGCTACATAATAAGCATTTAGGAAACTTCTTTTTAGTGTTCCATTTAGGTTTGCTATTGCCATTATTAGTTGAAACGTAACTATGAATATTACCTGATACCGACTCGTTTAGCTTATTATTGTTAGGAAGTGATTTATTTTGCGATTTGTGTGCCTGAACAGTGCTTATCATATCCAACATGTTTGCTTTATTGCGTAGAAATGAAAATAAATCTTCTAAACATATTTTCTCGGAAGAATCACCTTTAAATCGACTACCTATATCAACTCTCCGCGTCTCCCATTCACGGTCCGTATTAGTATCCAGTTTCGAAATTATTAAATGGATTATCAAAGTATCCCAATACTCGGTGGGCTCGTTAAATGTTTTTAGAGCGCGTAAATTTCTAGAAACTGTGTCTATTAATTTACGAATTTGTAATGGTGATTCCTGTTTAATGCTCGGAATATTAAATAATGATTTGACGTGATTATTAATTAACAATCGAATGTTATTATAACGATTTTCAAGTAGCTCCCATGCTTGGATATAATTAAGCGCTGTAAATTCTATAGAACTTATCAATTGTAAGGCAGTACCAGTCAATGATGATTTCAGATAATGAAATTTTTGAATTTCATCCAAGTCAGAACGTTTATGTATCATTGTAATGTATGAGTTTTTGAATTCTAACTAGTTATCGTAAGAGCCGTCAAGTATAGGCAGTTTAATTTGAGGTAATTTAACGTTAGATTGCAATGAAGCGCACTGTGTCACTTGAGATCCATCATCCATTCCATCACTCAGACAATTGGCAACGGCCATTGTACTAAAATACAATGATTCTAATGATTCTACATATTCTAAATTGATACAAATTTCACTATCTGAAGAATTAAGTTCTATTTCGCTTTCTATACAATTATGAAAAACTTCACTAGCCGAATGCTTCCTTAACTTTAATTCTGCAATTTGAATTTTGTTGAGGCTAACACCTTCTAAACTTGTATTTTTTAAACTGCGTTAGTTTGCCCTTCAAACGACCTCTTTTTCTCTTGAGATCTGAAAGATATTCGTCTACTGATTTCTTTTTCGAAGGCGAAAGAGATGGGACAATTAATTTTACACTAGAACTTTCACTTATTTTGGCGGTCTATTAAGAAATAATGTGGTAAAAGTAGGTACTCACGTGTAAGTATTTACGGCTGTAGCGTTGCAACCAGACAGAAATCTCGAGCACTGTAGATGTGAAAAGAACACGGTTTAGCACAATTTGAAAAGGATTAGGAGTAAAAGAGAATAAAAACCTGACCGTTTCGCTGCTACTACGCTTAGTTGTGCGACGCTGGCTCAGTTCTTGAAATCCGGCGATGATGGTCCAAAATATGGTGCGAGTTTCGGGTTTCCGGTTCAAATGAATCGTTTATTTTGTCTTTAAATAAAAATATTTATTTAAAATTACAATTTGAAATAATATAATATGTGGTTGACAAAATTTGTGTTGCTTGCTAGACGTTTAGAATATTAATGAACGCTTCTCCTGAGGCTTCTTTCAAGAGCTTCCTACTCGCGTTTTATACGATACAACATCAGAGGGCGTTCGCTCTCGTAGGTGGCGTTAGTAGTCGTAACATATTATAACAGTTTAAAATGCAACATTGTACACGTGATTAGTTCAGTTCAGTTGTCGGCTGTATTAGCGTTTTGTTGTATATTGTTACAAGGATTATAAATATGATTATGATGGATGTGATAATATCAAACAGACCATTGCTAAAAATATTTTTAAGTTGTATTAGCATCCTTTGAGTGCTCCATGTTTTAAAAGAGAATCATTTCAAACATGTATATTGAATTCAATGAACTTCCCTTCCAACTTTTTATAGGCATAGGACTGTCTGAATGTATGTTAAGCTGTATAATTATATACTAATATTTTCAAACATTTTAAGTAAAAAATAACTTATTCAGGCGTAGTTAGAAGTTCATTGATGTTATGTACCTATATTTTGTTCGAGATTTTAACCGGCGTGACATTATTACGCGCTTTTATATATAACATGCAAAATCCTATCTATATTACACTAAATATTTACAATTACTTTAGGTATAAAACTTTAGGAAAAACAACAATAAATTCGTCACGTAATATGAAGCACCTGCTACCAAAACTTTACGTATATTATAACAGATAACAGTGTCATTGTCATCTCAGCTAGACAGCTAACTGAACAATAATATATTATAACAGCCAAAAAATTAAACAACAGGCAAAACAACAGTTAAATATAAACGAAATACAAGCAAATAGATTTATCTTTATACTTTAGTGTTTGTAAAATAAACTCTAAAAGTGTTGCCTTAGAGTTTAAATTAATGTGAACTATACACGATCCTTGTGCTGCTTCTCGGCCCACGACGGTTAGACCGTAAACTAAACACAAATGATAGTTGTTACTGTTACTTTTGTTAGATGGGGCTTTCCAACGATAATGAATACATTATAACGGTCAATGGTTGATTATTATAATGTTCTGTAAGATTATAAATATATAATGAAATATATTATCTGTTGTATGTTATAGCGCCCAACTTTAGCCAAAATGATGCGCTACTGTTGAATATATAGATAACTATCAACTACTCCATTTATTTCATTCTCTCTCTTTACTGTTTGAGTCGCATATCCTGTGAACCTGTGATATCCTTGAAAGTCAATAAGTTTTAGTTCGATAAAATGACTTTATTACCTAAAGCATGCTGTTGATGGCGCTATTACAAATCTCCAATAGAATATGTCCGGTTCCCAATGGATCTCACAGACTCAACAGAGTACTGGAGCCCGAAGTGATCCATTTGAATGATCGATCTGAATGTACCAGGACGCGTGACGAAATGTACCGTCAAATGCCCTAACTTTTCACGAATGTTGATATTATTTAGTTTTGTCGTAAAATAAATTTTGAATTTGTACTTTTTAGCAGATAGAAATTAAAACAAGAGTAAAAACAAGACTTAGGTATAATATATAACATTTATTTTAGACATTACGCTTAATATTAATAACTTTTTGGAGGTATTTCAAGAAAAAGGCAAAGTTATGTCTAATATTCCTAACATTGCCAGAGGCGTTTACTCCAAAATAAATATGTACATTTAATCGTGGGACAATCTAAAATGTAACTTAATTATTTAACAATACAAATCAATTTCGAATAACACCTTTTGGAGTATTTTAGTAGATAAAATTTTATAAGGCAATGTTAGGACACAATTTCTTCCAATATTCATACATTGACAAAGAAAGTGTAGGGTTGTCTCATAAGAAAAATAAGTAGGTAACAAAATATTAAAATTATATTTAAAACACATGTTATAACACTTAATCAGTAATTCTCATTGCAAGCAGTTTTTATTAAAATTACAATCAGTCTTTCGAAATTAACCCTTTTTCTTAATAAACATAATCTATAAACGCACAATATGACGTAGTAAAGTTTTACTTTATTTATCCTAAAAAAAATACAACAATATCACAATGAAGTCAAAAACTAATTATCAGGTAATGAATTTCAATAAATGTTTGACAAAGGAACACCTAAATTATCTAAATCAAACTTTAATGTCCCTCTACGTCCAACTTGTGGATTTGGCAACGTTTTTTCTACATCAAGTAAAGTTATTTCTGAGACATCATCTACTAGTGGCCAGTAAAATGTACCTTTTGAATTTTTTCTTAAGTATTTTATAGTATATACGCGCTCCAAATCGTTGTACTTGATTACTAGACCAATATAATATTTAGCCAACTTTGATGTTGAAAATTTAACAAGAACATATTTATCAATTCCTATTTCATACATATCATTTTCTTTAGCATTATTTTGTTCCAATTCTTCATACATTTCGTCTATGTACGTTTCCGTGTCACTGAAAGATGGAAGAAAATGTTCATCACAAGACGAATCATGCACAGTATACATTCCTGAGCTTTCTGAACTCGAACCTTGATTGCTCCTACTTTTTGGAAACACCTTTTCCTGCTTAGTATAGTCATCTGAAATACTATCATCAAATGAGATTCTATCTGGGGATTTTATAATTACATTGGAGAGAATTCGGCTTTTCGTCATAGTTTCATTTGATGTAGTTGCACCAAAGTTAGAAATATTTTTGAATAAAGTCCGGTCATTTGATAAACATAAATTTTTATCAACATTCACAATAACGCCTGGTTGAACGTTGTAAATACTTTTGGTATTTTTCTGGTCAGATAATTCCATATCTCCATGTTTTTGATGTATTTCAGCATTTACTATCAAATTAGTCATAAGTTGGTTATTGTCAGCATCGGATGACGAATCTCGTCTAACGTGTAATGAGACATTGTCAAAAGTATTACCCACACTTTGATTATATATAATCAAAGAATCTGCAATAGTTGAATGTGTTTCTTTCACGTCTTCCTGTAATTGGATTTCTTTGGGGATGATATTCTTCTTAGGATTGAGTCTTTTTGCGTTACTAAGAGTTGTATCTGGTGCTTTTCGTTTTCGAGTTTTTTCATTTACGAGATCGGTAACAGTTACTGATTTTCCAGGCTCTATAAATATTTTTTTATTTGTATTTCTTATTTGCCGGTTCGCCGGGTTTCTTAAACCTTTCAAATAATTGACAAAAGTCTCATCGTAAGTAATGTTTGCTTGTGGCCTACGATAATCTGGCAATTTCTTTAATATAGCTTCTGGATTAATGGGGTGTATCCCAGCAGCACGAAATCCGCTAATTATGTTTTTTTTCTGTGTAATTTTTGTTGCATCTAGTAACATTTTTAATAATTCGGGGAATATTTGTTTGTTTAATGTGTTAGAACTTGGGTGTCGAACTTTGTAGTCCGTTAAAATTCGCCTCCATTCTCTCTTCAATGGGCCGAAAAAGGCCACATCGAGAGGTTGAGTGTAGTGAGTGGAGTTAGGTGGCAAAAAGATAAATCTGATATTATGTTCTTCACACTTAGTTATTATATTTACATTCATATGTGACGATAAATTGTCTCCAATTAAAACCTTAGGATCAGTGGTTTTCACAGCCCATGGGATAATTATGGTATTAAACCAGTCTTCAAAAGTATACGAATCGAACCAACCAGATTTGGTTTTGTTGTATCTGGTTCCTTCAGGCCCGTTTGCACACCAATTTGTCCACAAATTGTCTGCTTTGTATACGACATATGGTGGGAAAATTTCTCCACTTGCCGTAGCTGAGAACATAACAGATATCGCCGTCTTGGTATTGTTTAGTGTTTTGTTTGGGTATTTAGTACCTGCTTTAAATATGCATTTTTGAGATCCTGGGTTATCGGAAAAGTTGGTCTCATCATAGTTCACTATATGATCTGGTTTGACATTATGCAATGAAATCTTCAAATTTTCAAAATATGTATTGTAGTCCTTTACACTCTTACTGGCTCGGGATTCTTTAATATTATTTGTAGAACGCACCGTCAGGACATTTTTGTGGCGTTTCAAGAAGTTTCTTACCCACTTCTGACCCGGCATTTTATAGTTAAAAATATTACTGAGTCCATTTTTGATTAAGTAATCATGTACGATTGATCTTAATTCAAAGCTAGTAATAGGATACCCATATTCTCCACAAAGAATTAAACAACTGACTATTTTCTGTTCATCAGCTGGTGGCAGTTTGGTGGGACATCCGACTTTTTTCGTGTGTTTTTGTTTTACTTTATTTAAAATCGTGCGGCGAGGGATACCAAATTGTTTCTCAGCGTCGTATGAAGTAATATTTTTATTTTCGACGAGACCTACAGCAATGTTTAGTAAGCTCTCATCGTAATCTTTATATTTTCTTCGCGGCTTGTTCATTTTGATTGTCCTTCAAATAAACAGAAAACTGAGTAAGTATAATATATATATATATATATATATATATATATATATATATTTCTTTTAACAAACTTTTTTTTGTATAAGACTCCATTGACATTACAAAAAGCAAAGCAAGAAATTATCTAAAGTAGGTAAACATAATATAAATAGGTCACGCGCCAGCCTAATTAAAATTAATAACAAGTGTCAACCCTACGCTCGGCAATGTTCGGTACACTTGTTCACAAAACATGCCAAACTTTGCCTACACCAGTATTTCTCAATAATTATTGGTGTATTTCTATCGTTAACAATGACAAATTATCAAATTATCATAGTTTTACGGAATGAGTATAAAACAAGTTAGAATTAAACATATTTTAATGACTTACTTGAAAAGTTTTCTCACAACTCTCGTAACCGCCGTTCTACACTTTAATTCAGCACCCGATTGTCAAAAATCTTTGCATTTTACCAACGTGATGCTACTAATTTTGTGTTGCCAGATAATAATTCTAAAAATATATCAAAGTTTCCGTTGTCAGGCTAATAAAATAGAAAAGATATTACTTCTTTTTCATTATGGGCAAACATTGGACCCGTGGCAAAGTTAGGGAGTTTGACGGTACTAGAATGTTTCGGTCACTAGAAATGAATGATTGACACTTGTCTACCGTACTTGACAGGATTATAGGGTATGTTCCGAAATACAACCCAGTACACTGGCAAATGCAAATGACGTCATCAATTGACACTATATTGTACTGGCGTGCCGCCACCATATTGCGTCGGATATCCGGCCACAGTAAAATAATTTTTAATTGTGTGTTCGCTGCATGAAGCACAGAATTTGTTTTTATTTATTCAAATACAAAAAATTATAGAATAATTGCTGGTATCTCCATTAGGAAGATATAATGATTTTTATAAATGTATGACGTCATATACTGTCCTATGTTTTGGAACGAATCACCAGTATAGCGTCGATTCATGACGTCATTTGCATTGGACAGTACACTGCGTTGTATGGCAACACTGCCTACCTGACAGTGACATCCTGACAATATTTTGTCAACAAACAAAGTCTTTTCATTCGACCATTCGTCACAAAGAATTTAATTATTTCAGAACTTCAGAACGCTAACACACACCCCCGGTTTAAAGTATATAATTAGTTACGCCAAGTATTTGCAATTTCATATATTATTGCTAATCAATATTCATATGATGACATTATAATTACATTATAATAACATCAGAGTTCAAACATTCATATTCACACATTTGCGTCGACGCAAATTTCTATTTGGTTTTCTTTGTTTGCAGAGTATCGAAATATACGAAAATGACGTTAACTTTTTTTATAATATTTAATTTATTTATAAATGTGAGTTTGAGTTATAAACCAGTTATTTTAGTACACGGCATAATGACGGGAAGTGGAAGTATGGAAATTATAAAGTATAGAATTCAAGAGGTATGTTTTCTTATTCATTTTTTATTTCACCATGTAATCGAGATGAAAGAATATCTACTAGATATTTTTTATATTAACTGAATATTTCTGTAGTTTGAAATTATTTATTTGTAGTCTGTATGCAATAATTTAATTTACTTCTTGAGAGAAAAATAGCCTATTTGTGAGTTTCTTGGCGCTTCTCTCACAAGGTCGCTTGAAGCAGGGACTTGTTGAAGCAATTTTTGAATTTTTGACTTGAGAGTCAGTGTTTTGTAAAGGCCAATTTCGAATAAAAGTATTTTGACTTTGACTTTAAGATATGACTAATAAAAATTACATCTATCTTTAATAAGAGTTTAAACCTTCAAGAAATAAATAGATTTGTACAGAGACCTTTTAGCTTTCAAATGGGTGTTTCTGTTTATCATCAAAATAGTTTGCCTATATCAACTCAAAATTTTATTCTCACTATGTTTAGTAACCTTGGGACCAATTTAGTTTTGGTTTGGTTTCAGTGTAATATTTTAAACGTTTTAAAAGATAATTAATTTATTGCATTACATTCAGGCAGTCGTTCAGCACTTACATTCACTATAAAAATTATATATAGTAATAAATATCGTAAAATAGTAGATTCTTCTTAGAAGGAGAATGTAATATTTTATGATAAATCAGTGGTTTGTTTGAAGATCTTGATTCAATTTCTTTATTTTTATTATGCACTTTTGTTCAATTTTTACTTATTTTAAATCTTGACATTTCAAGTGCTGTACAGCATTGTGCTGCAATATATACTTAAATCATTATACTTCTTTATTTTCCTATTTTTAAAATATTGACTGACAATATTTTATTATTTTAGAAACACCCAGGAACTGTCATATACAATGTGAACAGGTTTGAAAGTTGGTCGAGCTTAGAAAATATGTGGCATCAAGTACTTGAAATTGGTCAAGACATAGCTAACATTTCATCCCAACATCCAGAAGGTATAAATGTAATAGGTTAGTAAAATTATTAATTAACAGATATAAACACTATCCCAGAAATTCCACTGACTGAGGTATTATCTCTAATAATCTATTCCTATGAACCAGGTTTTCACTTCACTGGGTCATCTATAAGCCCACATTTTGATGTTGTAATTTAATAACCAAAGGGGCTAATAATGCCTAGTTAAAAGTGCTATATTTACTGTTAATTATAAAGTAAGTACTAGGTAATGAAGCAATAAATTATTTCTCTTAAGAAGTAGTTTATCTTTTTTTATCATCCTTTGATACCTAGGAATCGATTTTTTTACCCTCTCCCACTAAACTAGCTTGTCCCACTATGGTGTGCCTATATATTTTGAATGGTTCCTACATAATCTTGTGTAAATGTTTATGAGTGTCAGGTAAAATGAGAATTATCTCTGCATAGAGTTGAACTAAAGCAACTCTTTTGGAAGTTTCCTCTCAGTTCTTTATGAAAATGATCATTTCATTAACAATATATTGTTACAATTTCAGGATACTCTCAAGGTGGTTTGGTTGCGCGAGGCATTATACAGACTTTCTCAAATATATCTGTTGATACTTTTATTTCCTTAAGTTCTCCCCAAGCTGGTCAATATGGAGGTAAATCATTTTCAACATAATACTTAGTTATGTAGTTTAAATTTTGGTTGTATGTATTAAAGTAGTAGGAGCATCATTTTCGATTAAGTCTAGTTAGGTACAATCATCCAGTAGAAAAGAAAGAGAGGTGCGATGACATGACACATGTTACTTATTATGAAACATAAAACAGTTAAATTTCTTTAAAATTATTATTTTTTATTTTATTTTTACAACATAATGCTTACAAAGACAAAAAGATCTGGTGTAAACATAACCTATTTTGAGTTAAAAAATAAGTTGAGTAATCAAAAATAAAAAATAACAAGTTGTGTTGTTTACATTATACCAGCATATTATGTGATAAGATATACAGATATTTTGTTAAAAGTTTATTTAAAAAAGTAACAATGTGTTGAAAGTTAATATAATATATTTTTCTGCTACCATATACTATAAAACTGTTGCTAAAAATTGTTTCAAATAAATATGTATACAATGTTTTTGATAGAAAAAAACAATTGAAATACTTTTAATACTTTGCTATTAATTGAGGATTTGAAAATTGAAGATTTGTACCTCCAGTACATTGAACTATTATGTACTACGTACTAGAGGCGACACTGCATTCAGCTACTCTGTTCCACTCAACTGCGGTGCATACATCGCACTTTAATCGGTCACTTGCTAGGCACTTGTAGAGCTATCACGTGTTGTGTTGATTTAAAAAAAATCTCTTGATAAAAATATGCCGTCGTGTGTACTTAGATATTAATTCAAGAAATGTCAGTAAAAACCAAGGAATTACTTTTCATCGCTTATTAAGATACCTAATCTATAAAAAAAGTATTATACATTAATAATAAAACAAATTATTCCTAAGACGCCATCTCGTGTCATGGAATATAGATTATGAAATTAATATGTTCAGATGCGACATTTCTGTGGGTACTTAAGTATAGGACGAATATATTATTATAAACATTTTTTTTGTAAAAACATGTAAGTATAAGTTATTATAATTAGGCCAAATTTTTCGTGTTTAAATCTGCTTATTATTTTTTTATTTTATTTTTAGGTTTCCACATCAAAGTCAAAGTGGAATAAATTCGTCCATTTTTAACTTTCGCCTGCCCAGCATTTATGAACGACTCTTATTCTAATTTAAATAAATATATTTGTAATTTAAATGTTATGTTAATAAGTTTTGTTATCATACATTTAGTACGTTTTTTTATATTTGACATAGATACCTTTTAAAATATTCAGATAAAAATATCATTAAAATGTAATTGTGATATGGTATTATATAATATTATATTAAATAGGCAAATATAATATACAAAATAAATGACAAAATTTAAATATTGTTCTCGATATAATTTACCTATTTAACAATACAATCTACTATTACCAAGGATCATTCTACCTATGTTTATTCTATGATAAAAAACCAACCGCGCGAACACAGAGTAGCGCACATTTTTTGTTTGAGATGGCTGTTCTAGTACGTAAGTACATATTACTTTAATGCTCCAGTATTAGGTATTTAGTTGGGCCGATTAGTACTTTGGCCGATTGGCCGATTAGCCGAGTAATCGGTTAAGAAATGGCCGATTAATCGGCCCAGCCCATCCCATTCCGATATTCAAATGGTGGAACAAAAATTTTTCCAGATATCAAGAAAATCCGTTTAGCCAAAGTTTACCTTTGCTGCCCCGCCAGCTCTGTGTATAGTGAGAGTCTGAGGCAGGGAATATAGTATCTACGAAACAAAAAGAAATCAACTTTAACCATAAAAGGCTGAGATTTCGGCCTTTTTGCATCACAATTTGCCACTGGTTAAAAATAACAAATAAATGAAATATTTTTCTAAAAAGCCTTCAATACTTTTTCAGATTGAGTATTTCTTTTTAACAAATTATTAGATGATTATAGATTCTTTATTTAATAACATTACAGGAAAATAACAATTTGATTTAATTTTTAGTTCAAAAACAATAATAATTTACTTTTAAGTACAGAAACAATTATGTTCTATTTGTCTTTTAAAAATCTATATGCGTGTAGTTTAACAAACTTTATTCAAGAACTAAGTTTTTTTTGTTATGCAAAGGGAGAGACTTAAAATTTGTTTTTTTTAAGTTTATTAAGAATAATATTATTAATATTTTATTTTGTTATGTCACTATTCTGCATTACGATTAGAAAAAGTTAAAAAGTAGAATTAAAATAGTAAGTACTTAGGTTTTTGTTTAGTTTTAAATAGCTACCTCAGATTCTTTTCTTTACCAAAGTTCCTATGTCCAGAATAATTAACATTAAAAGATGTGAGACTTACTTTTCAATAAAAGTTATGTATAACCTACTTATTTTATTATTTATTTGATTTACCTACATATAAATATAGTTAAATCATGCGTGATTTTACGCATGTGAGAGAAACTATACTTTTCTTAAATTTACTCATATCAATGTAGCCGCAGTTACCACGCAGAAAATCACGAAAAACCTTTGATGAAATTAATAAAATAAAAAGCTGATTAATCGGCCGTTTTAGCCGATTAATCGCCGACTAATCGGTGACTACAAAAAGGCCGATTAATCGGCTTCACCGATTAGTCCGTGGCTAATCGGCCCATCTCTAGTATTTACCTATCCTTAAATTAAAAAATAATGTCCTTTTAAATTTTATAAGGTCGAAAACTAAAACTTATGATACTTCCACACATTAGGATAGATGTACAAAAGAAAATAAGGAATCCTTGTCGAAGAGTTAAACTCATTAATTTGTCCTCTCTCATTAATAATTGTATATATCCAATTTCAGCTGGATTTCTTCATGTGGTGTTTCCTGGACTGGTTAAAGAGACGGCATACGAACTTTTCTACTCTCGCGTGGGACAACACACTTCAGTAGGCAATTATTGGAAGGATCCATATCACCAAAAACTGTATGAAACCTACAGTGTATTTCTGCCTTACCTCAATAATCATATTAAGTAAGTAAAGTTTTTTTGTATAACTTATGCAACAGTTTGATGTGATAGAGCCTCACTGCATTTGTATTGTCTACATCAAGAAAGGGTCAGTTTAACCACCTAAGAACACAACTTACAGAATTCAACTAAGAATTAATATAAAATAAAAGCTTATTTTAAAGAACTAAAAAGGATAAAATCATTTCTATATTTCCTATTTCCACAGCATCCACTTAGCATTAAGTGAACTGTGTGCTTGTTTATCAACCTCATCCCATAAAAAATCAGTGAATTCCAATACAAACTTTAAAAATATCTAATAGTCCAACTAACAACATGTAGCTATGTAACGGTATAATATAGACCATGTAAACCTGCAACTTTAAACAAGAGCGCAGATGTGTTATTATCCCTGATAAATAAAATGAAATCCCTCACAGCCTTCAGCAATTTGTTTCCATTATAGTATAGAAACTCATCATAGTTCTCATGGTGGCAAGATATTTTACAAGATAGATGTAGATTGTCAGCCAGTGACTACTATACCACAATATTGAAAAGAGGTTATGTAAGTAAAGATACTAATATTTATGGGATTACCTATATCTATTTGTTTTTTGTCACACTCTATTGTCTCTAATTACTGGGACAAAGAAATATATAAAAAAATTTGTATTACTGAGAGTATTATTCACAAATATTTTTATATTTTGTTGTATTTGCGCATAAAAACTTACCGGAGCATTATTACCGCAGTTTTATATTATGTACGGTCTGAAATTGTGAATATGAATAGTTTTACGAATTTTAACGGATAGATGGCGCTGTAATCAAAACGTTCGGGAGATTCTTTTTAATGTGTTCAAATTGATGAAATATCGTCTAAAATGTATTAAGATGATATTATATCAAAGAATTAATCAACATTTATCTTTTAACTTAAAAATAGATCTAAGTAAAAATACCGTTGTTAAATTTTTTCTTAAAAATAGTCCTATTAGTACTCCTTGAAAAAATATTTTCATTTTAAAGGTATTTTTTTTTGTTTAAATTTGTTTTAATTTATTATTTTAAATATACGTTTAAATTTTGATTTATAAAATTAGGAAATTGTTTGCAATAATGTCAGATTGATATTTTTGGCTTTGTAACTAACCGGTTCCATGGTGTAATGGTTAGCACTCTGGACTCTGAATCCAGCGATCCGAGTTCAAATCTCGGTGGAACCTGTGTTTTTTTTGTTTTGGTTAAAACATGTAGTTATCATTATTTTTGTTAGAAAATATTTATTTCATTGATTCTAATTAATTTATGACAGTATTTCTGTTAAGCGAAAATAATAAAGTTGCAATAATCCTGTTTATAGAAAACCTTGACATATTTTTGAAATACGTCACGATATGAATTACGTCAAATCTGATGTTGTTTATCGCAAGTATTTCTCTGAATTAATGAAATACGCAATATTCTAAGGTCATCCAACTGTACTCTTAGCTATTTGTTTTTGTTTAATCTTTGGTTTTATACTTGGCTATCCGTTTAAATTTTCAATGGCAATGTAAAAAATTATGTTTTAAAATGAGGTTAGCACTGCACTTGCTTACCAAATTATTAAAATAATATATTTCAACCAATATTATAAAAATGTTATTAATTGATTTTATAATATATCTTTAAATCTTGCAATATATGTTTTTTTAGAATAAGGGTGGACAACGGGCGAAGTCCACCTGGTGGTAAATGCACGCTGTGGCCATAAATTATATTTGTACTGTAGAAGTACATTATAAGTAAAGTACGAGTATGTACCTACATTACGTTTTGATAATAATGTTGTATTCTTTAATGTCATATAAGTATTCATAACGAATAAGGTAAAGAACTTATTCCTCTTTTTATAGTTACAAAACGTCTACCTAACGTAACGTTTACGTGGTAGAGCCATGTTGCAGTTATATTAGTAGTATAGTTGTCGCATGAATGGGTCGGTTCGACCGGGGTAGCGCCACGCTCTTACAGAATACCAGCGTAAAATAGCAGCTTAACGCTGCCGTGTTTCGTATGGTGAGTGTAGAGAACCAGAGACCCTTTTTACAGGAAACGAGGCATTCCATCTTACTCACGGGTGACAACACATCTGCATTTTGATTCGTAACCGAGGATAAAGGGCCTTAGCATCCACTTACATCAGTGTATGCTCGTTTGTAACCCTAACTCTTTATAATAAAAAGTTATATTAATTTATTTCAATGATAGATAGACTTATCGTTGAAGAATCACTGCAGAAGGTCAATGCAATGCGTAAATGACACCTCAATGACGTCGTTTGTTCATTTTTGTTGTGTTTTTATCTTTAAGGTCAATTTAATATATTTTTCCTGTATAGGGTTATCGATGTGTAATTTTAATCTGTTTAATATTAATTAATATTATAAGTTTACTTAAATTTTGAGAATAATATTGCAATGTGCTAAAGAATATTCGTTAATGTAACAGATTGGCGTCGAACATGTAACAAAAGTGAATCTCCACTAATCTTATCACTGCAATATTTCTTTTTTTATAGAATTAGGGGGACAGACTAGCACTCAGTCCACCTGATGTTAAGTGGACGTCGTGACCCATAGATATATACAAATATATCTTCTATTAAAAATTAAAATGCGGATGCGTTGTGCCACCCCTGAGGACAAAATAGCATGTCTCATTTCCATCATCATCATCTGGATCTCTACACGCACCATACGAAACACAGCAGCATTAAGCTGCTACTTTACGCCGGTATTCTGTGAGAGCGTGGTCCTACCCGACTATAAATCCCGATTCGATTTTGAAAAACTAAAAGCACATGATCCTAGTGCATACCAACCTATATGAATCGACAGTAGCGTAACTTCAAAATCAAAGTCATCGGTTGGAATCCGAAAATAGACTACTATCTTTAACCCATACAAAATAAGTTTTCTTGGGGTGGTTAATTTTTTTATAGGATAAGGATGACAAACGAGCGCACAGTCTACCCGGTGGTAAGTGGTTGCTGTAGGCCATAGACATCTATATATATATATATCCTCGATTACGAATCAAAATGCATATTTGTCACCCGTGAGGACTAAAGTGGAATGCCCTGTTCGCGGTAAAAAGGGTCTCTGATTCTGTACAATTACTATACGAAATACAGCAGCGTTTAGCTGTTATTCTGTGAGAGCGTGGTACTTCCCCTGTCGAGTCGACCTTTTCATGTTACAACTTTAATATAGCTGAAGCATGGCTGTGATTGTGCATTAGTTATGTTAATAGCGTTACTAGTGTTTTCTTATTGAGTTAGCGTGTAGTGGAGGTGTAAGGATATGCACTACCCCATATCATCCCGTGGGTGTCGTAAGAGGCGACAGCGGGAAACAAATCAGGAGATGGGCAGTAGTGTCTTCCTAATAACGACTATAAATTAGAAAAACTGCGGTTGCCAACCCGCTTGCCAAACGTGGCAACTATGACAAATATAGGGGGTTCCCTATGAGACAATCTTATGGGCTGGGCTTATGTTCAGCAGTGAACTTTAGTATACTGTAACGGTAACAGTAACGGTAAAAAGTGTGAAGTGTCGGTTTATGAAATCCCGAATAGACAGAGACTATGTTATGTATGTATCCTAATGAATATACCGACAACTAAACTGAAAGATGTCAATAGTATCTCAGACTTTTAAATCGACGCTCTCTACATTTGTTTTTATTATGTATAACAAGCATTTTCCTGAAGTACGAATGATGGTAAATGGATGCTGGGATCCTTAGATTCGTGAGCGCTAAGATGGAATACCTCGTGGTCAGTCGGCGGTTCCCATTTTTTTTATAGGATGGGGAGACAAACGAGCACACAGTCCACCTGATGGTGAGTGGTTGCAATGGCCCATAAACATCTACATAATATGTATATCATCGATTACGAATCAAAATACAGATGCGTTGTCACCCGTGAGGACTAAGATGGAATGCCTTGTTTCCAGTAAAAAGGATCTCCGGTTCTCTACACTCACCATACGAAACACAGCAGCATTAAGCTACTATTTTACGCTGGTATTCTGCGAGAGCGTGGTCCTTCCCCGGTCGAGCCGACCCATTCGCGCTACAACTATACTACCAATATAACTGCAGCATGGCTCTACCAAGAACTTAAATGCGGTTTAATCACGTACGAAATTCTGTGCATCCTTTCTAGTCTGTATTATTGAAAAGAAATTGTATTGTTGTTTGGTTTAATTACAGGTCAAACAAATCGGCCGATTTCAAAGCCAATATATTGAAACTTAAGAGGCTAGTACTTATTGGTGGTCCAGATGATCAAGTTATAACGCCATGGCAAAGCAGGTATTTTTGTTAGATATGTTTAAAATCTCATGGGTTTTGGGTAGGGAGCAAATGGCCTATATGTATGTTTATTTTCTTCAAGCAAAAATAAACAAATTGCATCTTGCTGATAATGTAGAAATAATTCAGGCTTTAGATTTAATAAGTAAAAAATACTAAAGAACCCGTACCGGAATATGCAGTGCGGCCTTTTTCATATTTTTTATTTTTTATAAATCAATTATTTCAAAACTATTTTTATGGTGCGATAATTCACCAAATAAGGTTCGTAAGTTAAGCAGAAACTACATATCAACTGTTATGCCTAGAATTTCTATCCTATTTACTAGTGAACTTAAACCCGCAGTCATATTATTTTTAACCTAGTAGACTCGCAGACATATTTTATTTGATATCGGCTTAAACAAATATATATCAGCAGCCTGTCAGCAGTCTACTGTAAGACAAGAATCCTTCCCGCAGTCTCCGCGGGATTTCCGTTTTCGATATGCTTGGCAGGTGATTTCGTGATCATAATTTAAACGTCTAGCAAATTTGACGCCGCCGTACGTCACTAGTCTGGATATTCTAAATTTGACGTACGAGGCGATACTATGTATGTACCGCCATCTGTAGGAAGCATGAAAACTACTTACAGCTATGTTATTTGTAATATTGGTTTTAAAAAGAACTTCACTATACGCACTGATCGTGAGCTTAGATGATAGTACGAGTACTAAGTCATAGACCTGAAATTATTTTATTGTCATCGGTTTTTAATATGCCTGCAAAACTTTAGATTATTCAGACGTCTGGAAGTGCGTGAAGTCTGAATTATAATATTACATTATATTTACACATATATACATACATACAAACATACGTACAGGTCAAGCTAATATAAAGCTCGTAAAATAGGTTAATTTGCTACCATCGTCATTTATCCTCCATAACATAAAAATTGTTTTCTTTTTCCAGTCAGTTTGGTTATTACAGTATAAATGAAACTGTTATTGAAATGAAATCTCAAGATATTTATTTAGAAGACACAATTGGGCTTCGAACATTAGACGAGAGCGGCCGTCTTCATATTGTCACTGTACCGGGAGTCAACCACTTCAACTGGCACATGAACGTTAGCATTGTAGATGATTGTTTATTACCTTACTTAGATTAATAACGTTGTAAAATTTAAAGCTGTATACGTGCTTGCCCATTGACTACTATTTGAATACAGTACCAAAAAACTAAAAAAAATCATATCTTAACGTATAAAAATTACATGCCACGTTGTTTGCCCGTGATGAACTGCTGAGCGGATTTCAATGAAATTCTGCACACTGTGTGCAATTTGGTCCAACTTGAGAGATAGGATAGTTTTTATCCCGGTAAGTGAGTGACCCTCAATATTTTTAATTGAAATTTAAGGAATTTTTTTTATAGGAAGGGTCATCGCAAAGGGCAGAACGTCTGCCTGGCCAGCTAGTATAAATTATACGGGCAAACTTGCTGTAAACATGCGTCAATTAAGTATGCAACAACCTTTATTAATCAGTAATAGATTTTATACGTGAGAAATATTGTGTAGATATGAGATGGATATACTTTTTTTACCGAATTCAAAAAGGAGGAGGTATTCAATTCGACTGTATGTTTTTTATGTGTGTTACCTCAGAACTTTTCTCTGGGTGAACCGATTTTGATGATTCTTTTTTTATCTGAAAGCTGGTGCTTCTCGTGTGGTCCCATATAAATTTAATCAAGATCTGACTTTTTTGAGTTATTCTTGATACAGTAAACCCTCGTTAATGTGAACACGGTTAACACGAATTTTGGTTTAAGGCGAACAAAAATTTGCTCTAGACAATAGTTCCATAAGCTTCAATGTAATTATGTTCGGTTAAGACGAATCCTCGTTAATACGAACTTCGAACAACTTTTTCGTCCCTTCACGGTTAATTATCGGATAATACGAACTATAAAAATTCCCAAATCATGTATTTTGTATATTTTTGTCCTTTTTCGGTCAATACAAATACCGGTAAACAAATGCTGAAGAGATTAGAAAAGTTATTAACTCGAGTTTCTAAAAATAGACAAATGATTAGTATGTCAAACATTCACTCGAGTACCTTAAAATAGAAACAATACCTCAAATTTTCTTTCCGTCTTACAAAAGCTATTGAAAAGGTCGTAAACTTTTGTAAACTAATTAACAAAAGCAAAGGCTTCTTAACAATTTGGCTTTTAAAAATTATTGTAAATATAAAATAATAAAATCAAAGTTATTAATAAAAATGTTTCTATGATGAATCATAATATTGAGTTTAGAAACACGAATACATTTTTTGTATTGTTCGGATTACACGAACTCCCCTGTAACACGAACTATTTGTCTGTTTTTTTCGTGTTCGTATTAACGAGGGTTTACTGTAATGCTTATTTAATTGACTGTTGTTCTCATTTTGATTATATTGAAGTCAGTTGCTTAATTTTTTTTATTTTACCACTCGTATGTATTTAATTTGATATTCTTCCTTTTTATACTGTAGTGATTTAAGCATTATCGGGCTTATCTATAAGTTTTGATTATTACATATACATATTAATTATCTTTATACGTGTCCCTTTATATTAACATTTAGTTAAAAGAGAGAGAGAGAAAGAGAGAGTTTAAATTAACGCATTTTATGTGAGACCGAAATTTTTTAATAAAAGTTCACTGGACTTGAAAATGGTAGATCTTAAAATATTATAATTAATCATTAAGTTGTTATTGAAAAATGAACACGCGAATTTATTATTATATAAATATTATTAAGTATACAATAATTTTTTTAGTACTATAATTACTATTAAGTTTGAGTGTTTTTACAAATACTACTAGTAGGTAGTTAATTATTATAACCGTTTTATGTAGAATAAAACATATCCAAGTCACAGAATATATAATAGTACTATGTATCCAAGTGATGATTAGCAGGTAGCGCATTCTTGGAACGTGATGTACTTTAGAAAATTTGTTGTACCTATACTCCATTTATTGTAGCATTAGAAAAAGAGGCTAGCAGAAGCAGGAGTGCAAAACATTATTTTTTTTCAATGTTAAGTGAAAATCATATTAATTACAGTTAAAATTGTTTTAACATTACTTTGATAAATAGACTTAAAATCTATTTTTTAAATTATGCTTTATTTATTTTAACATCTTCATCACACATTACAAACTTAAAGCGCCGCTCAGACCGCGAACTCAAAAGGTCGTGGGTTCGAATCCGCCATTCGACTACTGTCGTGAACCATTCCTAACACAAGCATTTTAAGCTTACCAGGAGTGGTTAAAGGGAATATTAGTAATGTTAATTAATAGGATTACTAATATTAAAAAAAAACTTACAACGAAACTAATGAATGAAACAACGGATAACAATCATGGAATATGATAGAATACTTTTTATTATGTACACCATAAAAATACAGATTACAAATGTAGAAATGTCACATAGGCTGACACAATATGCGGTAAAAGTAAAAGCTTTCTTCTACATACAACCTTTGGATGGATTAAAGGGTGAAGGAGAGACAATACTGCAGGTGGTCAGTGGTGTACCACTCACATATATACAATAAATACATGCATTCTCATAAAAAATATATTTATCTAGATAATACATATATTTATAATAATTTAAGTTTAATTACAATTATTTTAGTACAAATATTTTTGTTTACTCAAAATGTTCAATTTTCAAATATTAGTTAGGTATTTGATTTGTTATTTTTAACATACTCGAGGCTCTTTTAATTTTACATCGAACTATTTCACAAAATAACGTAATTGTATTGTTTAAATTTAGCTCAATTTTATCTACTTTTCCGAATGTTATCTCAACGTAATTTTTTTACACATTGTTTTAATTCTCTCTAACGCCATCTATTGAAACGTTAGAGAAAATTAATCAGAGCTAGAAGACCGCCATCTTTTACACTTTGTACAAAATACTTTAAAGCGTTATTTAGATAGTACCTATATATTTATCTTGCATTGGGTTCTTTAAAATAATGTGATCATACTCAGAAAAATATTTAAAATAATATTGTAAGATGCAGATGATGTAGGAATTAGGAAGGCAGTTTTTAATGACGCAAATGGTAATTACAGAATTCCAACGACCGCGTGTCTTGAATATCTTATAGTAGTTATTATTACATTATTTCATAGGCTGTGAGTAATTTCATTTTATTTATTAGGGATAATAACACATCTGCGCTCTTCCTTGCTTAAATTTGCAGGTTTACAGGTTCTATAATATACGGTTACATAGCTACATATAGTCAGTAAGAATTTGGTTTCTGATTCTAGACATCTGACAAACGAGTACACCGTCCATCTGACACCTGGTTGCTGCGGCCCATAGACATCTACATCTATCCTCGATTACGAATGAAAATGCAAATGCGTTGTCACCCGTGAGGACTAAGATAGAATATTTTGTTTCCAGTACAAAGACTCTCCGGTTCTCTACACTCACCATACGAAACACACTTCTCCGGTCGAGTCCACCATTCGTGCCCTAACTAGGAAGAAGGCAAAACAGACTACTTAACAAAAATAAGTTTAGAAAAGGAACTATTCATTTCATTAAACTTCTTCAAAGTCAAAAATAACAAACATTGTTAGCTCTATATTACGTAGGAATCAGACTTTGACAAAATCACATACAATTAAGATTGTAGATGATTTCAAATACCAATAATTTCTAATCAGAACTTTGATTTATGTTATTTTTCTCCGCTAGATCACAAGCCAACTTGTAGATTTTTCGTGGTTAATCCAAATAAAAAGACTTTCTATCTGTTTTACATAAGTAGCTAAAACTGTCTCTTGAGCCTTAGTAAAATCTTGTTCAAATCTACCCAGTTTCTTTGTGGCTTTAACAGTAATTTGAGTAGACTTATATTTCTCTAGTTTTCTCTTCAAAGTGGTCTTTGGTATCAGGAACTGAATAGAAGCCTTATTAAGGCTCATTTTCTCAATTGCATTTTTCACGCTAGACTCATCCCAACAATTTCTTTTTTAATTATTCATCATGTGAAACCAAAGCGTAAAAGATTAATAAACTATTAAAAACATTATCTTCCCCTGATTTCATTGGGTTTATATTAACATTCACGATACTCTGTCGAGGGCAAAACGGACCCAGGCAAGGCAAAACGGCACCCTAGTCCATTTTGTCTGGGTCCATTTTGCCTTTTTGATATTAAGGTTGCCCTAGTCGATGGCACGAACTAAGTGGTGGGCGGGGCAAAAATGCATGCTATCTCAGCCGACATCTCGTGCGAAAGGGATAGACGCTGTGATGAGCAGTAAGAAGCTAGTGCGCACACACATACGCACTCGAGTGACGCAATGCGCGACGGCATCATCGCGTACCTAGGTACCTATGCGTTTCATTTTAGAATAATAACATAAACTCAAACAGCAATTGTGAACTTCGTGCCGCAATAGCTTAGCAATGAGTAGCTGCGCTGAGTGCCGCGGGTTCGAATCCCCCACGGAACAAATATTTTGTATGGACTACAAATAGTTGTTCCGGGTCTGTATGTTTGTTCTTATGCAATTTATATTTGTAAACTGCCTCCACGATACTGGAGAAAATCGGGGATAACGTATTTTAAAAAGAGAAAGGAGAGAGAAAGCAAATTGGTGTTATTGTAACTTAGAATCTGCTGTGTGAAACGTAATTATTATGAACCCAATTTATGTGCTTAGTTGTTATGATGAAAGTTCTTATGTGAACTTAAGTAGATGTTGTTATTATATAATAATTCCATTGATTTCTTTTTTACCTACTTTTTAACCAACTTCGAAAAAAGGAGGTGGTTCTCAATTCGTTGGTTTTTGTTTATGTATGTTCTGTCCCCCGATTTCTCGAATATGCCTGAACCGATTTGGATATATTTTCCAGATAATCCCACGGTAATCGACGATGATCAGATCAGGATCTGATGATGGGATCTTGGAGAAATCGGGGGCACTTCAATAAATGACAGCAAATCAACCGCGATTGCTGCTATCGCCTATCTATGCATTCTTTACGCAATCACACAATATAATATCACGCCTGTACCCACTAAAGGAACATAACTCTAAACTAAAAACGGTAACATAAAAAACTTTTTTTTGAAAAAAATATAACAATTTCCAAAACAAACACAAAAAAGTGTAACATAATTATGTTTTCTGTATGTTTTGTATTTTACTGTAGGTTATGCAAATATTACTGTAGGTACTATGTATTCTAATTAGGTATTTACTTTCCATAGCTAGTTAGCTATAATAGCCCGCAGGCAACTCCCCGACCCCGAAGTATGTCAGCCAGTGTCAGGATAACTGCTTTTTCGACAGCGCGATTTTGATGTGAGTGTGGCTTTTATATAGGTAAATTAAATAAAAAAATGTTAGTTTGTAAATTGTTTATTGATTGTTTGTGTTCAATAGCGGTTTGAAATATTCTCTTAGTACTTAGAAAATTACATAACAACAGGCATTGTGTCACTGCAGGGACAAGCACAAACGTCTATCAAAATAGTAACGTATATAAACGGAATACTAACAGCATAGACTTCCTTACAGAAGTCCAAAGAACACGTCTAGGCAAGGTAAGTAATTAGAAGAAAACTACAATTTAGAGATCGATTGTAAATCAAATTCACAGTACAGACACAATTAGCGAAATATGAATAAAATTTTTATTTATTTTATGATAGATAACGCTAGTTGAAAACTAAACACTGTATGGGAATGGCATCACTGAACGAGTCAGGTGATCAGTCCAAACAAATAAAAGGCGCGATTGTAGAAAGAAATTCGTTACTTGGTCGGGGCTTGACCTGTTTATGCTATTCATAACGAAGGCTATAAATATGTAGGTATAACTTAGAAACTAAATCCTATGTGTACTTATCTGTATTCATAACCCAATATCTAAGGTAGGTTATTCTGTAATAAAAGTAAAGTAAAGTAAAGTTACAGCCTATATACGTCCCACTGCTGGGCTCAGGCCTCCCCCTCTTTTCTGAGAAGGTTTAGGGCAAGGAAGTGTCCGCCGCGCTGCCCAAATGCGTGTTGACGAACTTCACATGTCTTCGAAATATTTTTTTCTTATTCCTCAGACATGCAGGTTTCCTCACGATGTTTTCCTTCACCGCCGAGCACGTGGTAAATCAGCACTTAAAATTGCAATTAACAATTTCATTGGTGCCGGCGGAGATCGAACCCGGGTTACTCGCGTTCTGTTATATTTACAGCGAGCGTTAACCACTGAGCTACCACGGCTCTGTAATAAATTAAATCTAATCCAAAATATAGGTACTATAATACCATAGCAAAGCTACTACTATTTTTTTAGTAGTAGCTTATATAGTAGTATAGTAAATTATATATAAAAAAATATGGGTATGTCTGAGGTAAGGTTAAATATAAACAAATATTTTGCCAAGTGCGAATCGGACTTCCGAGCTTCCGAGATTACAAGATTTAAATACCTATACATATTACTATCGATCAAAAAAGCCAAAAATACACGTTTCTTTTTCTAGTAGAAAATCCTTTAATTTCAACAATAGGTATATTAGGATATGAGATTCCTATACGTAAGCACGATTATCGAAAATCTAAAAATTACCTATTCTAATTCAATTAATAGATAATTTTAAGATTTTCGATAATCGTGCTTATCTATGAGATGTTTTCGTTAGTTAGCAAATTAAAGTAGTTAAGTACCTAATGTGCTATCTGTATCGAAAGTTCATTATTATGTACCAACTTGTTTTCAATTTTAACTAAATGTGCTTCAACAAACTTATGGGAACATTTTAGCAGCTATATTCATCCCGGCTTCAGCAATGGACACGAACAAAAGGAAGCAATTTTTCTAAATAAAGATGTAGATATGTAGGTATTACAACCATAAATAGATAGCAGCGGCTAACCTAGTGAGCATGTGTGAGTGCGCGCTGCGCCCCCCCCCTCCGTCCGTCCCACTGATCGGGGAAATTTGTAGCGAAAGGCAAGATGCTTTATAACAAAAACGGGCGCGCAAAATTTTATAAACAGACCTTTGGTAGTCTGGATGTCACGAAAAATCTATTGAATGTATCTGTTTAAAATAAAATTATTTGCAGTTTTGAACAACTAATCTATCCCTGTATGGTAACTGTTTTGCAATTTTCGTTCTTCTTATGGTATTTATTTCCGCCCAAAGAAGTGTTAAAAAATAGTGTTGAAATTCGGAATTTTCGACGCTTATAACTTTTAAATATACTCTTTTTTTTACTTTTTTGTTTCCATACAGGGCTAGATAATGATGAGACCAATTGAAATCATTTTTTATTTTGAACGTACACCATCAAACAGTGGAGTTATCGCCAGACTACGTTTGTATGGAAGAATAAGCGACTAGTGTACCCTTAACAACAAAAATTAAAAATTTTAAGGTTATAAAGTTGAGGTATAGTCGGCATACTTGGTTACTACCTTAATCATATCTCAGTTTACATACAGTTATCATTGAGCACACTATCACAAACCGAACCAAACTGTAGACTAATTGAAAAATGCAAAGTTTACATTTAAATCTAACAAAAATAATTACCTTGCTAAATCAATGTACGGTAGAATTGAGTACACCGACCGAGAGCGGCAACATGGCGGCCAACATTTTGACGTAACAAATTCATAGATAGCGTTACACTTTTCAAAATTATCAAGGTGGACCGTTTTGTCTACAGGGTCCGTTTTGCCTTCCTTTCCCCTACTACAAATATAGCTGCAACATAGTACCACGTATATGCTGATAGTTTTCGAAATTTCTAAAGATAATTTAGGCATATATTTTTATCAGTGCTACTTTTTCATTTTACGAAATTACGTCTATTTATAATATCATAATAATCGTATAACAAAATGTTTTGTTCTAAAAATGTTGTCCATGAAAGTTTATGTCGTAGAGTCACGCTCCAGCTCCAGGTTATAGCACGAATTGGTCAGCTTGACCGGGTAGGAATACGCCATCATAGAATACCAGCGTGAAATAGCAGCGTAATGCTGTTTTGTTTCTTATAGTGAATGTAGAAAACCGGAGACCCTTTTTACTAAAAACGAGGAGAGGCATTTTATCTTAATCCTCAGGTGTGACAACGCATCTGCATTTTGTTTTTTAACTGAGTGCTCGTTTGTCAACCTTATTCTATATTAAAAATAAATCGAACCCAGGATCGACGACTCATTAGTCAGGTACTCTTTGCGATCGTTGCTATGTTTAATGAGTAATGTATTTAATCACCGAACAAATAACAAATTCAGCTGCATTCAAAATGGTTTATGTCGTTGAAATGTAATGTTCTTTAATCAAAACGCTATCTGTTTCACTGTTGTGGCTTGAAAACTTATGAACTTATGATTCAAGTTTCGCGGTACAATGTTTTCTTGTAAGAATACAAAAATCTTACCATAGTTTTTATACATTGCATGATATTTGTAAACTATACGTAACCACAATGTCACATAACGCACCAAACACGTCAGTGTTGCTCTCAAAAGTGGAGCGGATTTATTTACTGTAGTAAAATTAAAAAAAAATGCCTCTTTGGTCTAGTGGTCGTTACCGCGATTGCTGATTGTGAGGTCCCGGGTTCGAATCCCGGGTTAGGCCAAAATCGTTTAGTGAGTTTTTCTGCCAATAAATTCTCAGTAGCAGCCTGGAGTTATCGGATTATAAGAGTGAGAGAATAGAAAGTGTTCCTGTGTTTGCGCATACACTCGGGCACTTAAATGCTGTCCTGCGCAGATGGATAGTCTACGTTGAGACTGGCCGCCGTGACCGAAATTCGGCCTAGAAGACATTGTTATTATGGTCATATATTTTATATATTTTGAATTAAACATTACTTTAAGGGATACGGAATATTTGTTCGATTTTATTTTAATGAAAATAGCTGTAGACATATAAGTGTAATCTATGCATT